TATGCATATATATCATGGATAAATATGTTATATTTATTATTTTTATCTAACTATATTTTTTATTTCATTTTATTATGAATTTTTTTTACATTTGAGTATTTATCTATTTTTGCTATATAAATTTTCCTTTTTATCTAAATACTATTTCTTTTTAAACCAAAATCTCATTTTATAATTATTATTTATGTATATATTTTATATAAATCAATTTTTTTCCTATTTTATATTAACCCAACCTATTTTCTTTTTGACTAGCTATATTTTATCTTTTCTCATAAATTTATTTTATATTTACCTTTTTATATTTTAGTTGTATTGACTATTATGAATTTACCATCATTGAGAGTTTAATTCTTCTTTATTATTTATTCATTATCTTCATTATTTCTGGAGTTCTTTTGTTTTATATTTTGCATAACTAATAATTAGGTTAATATATTTTCATTTATTTAAGATTAGAAATATCAGGATTCGTTATTGAGACCATCCCATTGTACTGGTAGGATCTTTGTCAAAATCCTTTATCTAGGAAAATTCATTAGAAATTGTGATTTCTTGCCTTCCGAATGGATATTCCATCATCGGTATCCAAATAACACATTTTAGTATTTATTATTTACTTATTTATTATTAATTTTTCTATCCCATTTGTTTTCCTTTTATGTACTTATATAAGCTTTGTATAGCTAAATATTTTATCATGATTTTTACCTATATATATTTTATATAACTTGCTGTTTTTAGTTCTTTTATTTTTTTTAATACTCCACCTAAACCTACTACATATAAATAGATTTTTTTTATTTTTTCTATAATTTTTGTATCTTCTATTCTATCTAAGCATATTTATCTTTTATCATTTTATAATTCTTATTTTACTTAAACATGTATTTTTTCATAACTAAATGTTTTATACTTTCATAATTTTATTTTTACCTAAATATATTTCATAACTAACTATCTTATCTGTTTTAATTTTTATTTTGCTGAAATATATTTCATGACTAACTATTTTAATATTTATATTCTATATTTCATAAATGCGTTTTCCTTCATTTTTACTTTCCAAAGCTAATATTTGAACCCAAACTATGTCAAGATCCATGAAAAAAACTCATTAAATAACATCAAAAGCAACAATTCATATATTGCAACCAATAAAGCCCAAATCAGCAACCCATAAAACAATAAAGAGGTCATACCTAGTTGAGGCTCAGAGTAGTCCAGGTGTCACAGACCGCAGTTTAGCTCATTGGAGGTGGCCCGAGGGTGTTCAGAAGTGCCTGTATATGGGGGAGTATTCCTGGGAGAGAACCCCTATTGGATAGCAGAAGGCAGGTGCAGGGTGCCCAGCAAGAGCAGCGGCAGAACAGGCCCCTAGGAGAGCCAGCCCACACAAAGCCAAGCAGATTGTGCCCGGGTGGCCCAAGCGAGCCAGCCCAAACAGTAGGGGTGCGCGGCACGCAGGCCTGCACAGCATGAGCACGAGGTACCTAGGCCCGGGGCCAACCGACCCGCATAGCAGGGGTGCGCGACACGCAAGCCCGCACAGCATGGAGGGCGGTACGTAGGCCTGGGATGCGCCTGCCGGACAGCGCCCAGACAGACTGCCTGCGCCTGGCCCATGAGCACTAGGCTGCCAACGCCCAAGTACACAGCCTGTGCACGATCTAGACCCACCAGGAGGCCAAAGATGACACCAACCCACTACACCAGCTCTTTTAATGGCTTGAGCTGCTGAAATTTTAGCTTCTTTCCTAAAAATGTTTTGGAGGGAAATTGACTATAAATAAGCCCTTGTAGATTGTGTAAATCAGATTATTTAATGCATTCTTAGCTTTTCTTTTTCACTCTCCAAAAACTCTCCAGCACTCTCCTCTCTTCTCTCCCTTTCCCTTTCCTGCAAGTGTGTTTGCTGGCTTGAGGCCTACTGTGTGCATGTGTGTGTGCCGGCTGACTGAAAAGTAGTGTTCTGCGTGTGGGGGTGCTGAGTGCTTGCTGGGCGGGTGCTGAGCACTAAGGCTGACTTGAGTTCCGATACCGGGATAAAGGATCGAATCCAAGATCGTACGGTGGGTGGTCTGAAGAACCGCCCCGTGACACAAGGACTTGAAGGCTTCTCTTCAAACATAGGCTTTTTTTGACCCAAGGTGTAGCAAAGGATTTAGATGGCTTAATAGGTAGGCCTGGGGCTAAGAAAATATAGTGGGCTTAATGAGATTTGGCCCACAACTCGGCTTATTCCTACAAACCACCAGCGTTCCTCACTTGGAACGCACCGTTTGGTGCTTGTATCGTTGTCCAAAAACACCTCAAAACGACACTATTTGCTCTATCCCCAATCCTAGCTATTTAATCTTCTTCTCATATCGCTCTCATCATTTTTCATTTCCACTTTCTCTCTCTGATGGCTGCCCACTTTTCTTTTTTGTTTTTTTTTCTCCTTTCAAATCTCCTTCAGCACCGATCATTCTCTCTTTTCTTTCATCTATCAACAAAAAGCATGACACCTAAAAATACTCAAATCCATTTCTTCCTTTTTTTTATTTTCCCCTTTCTGATTCTTGGTTTTATTTCCTTTTTTGTTTCGTTTTTCTGTCTTTGTTTTTTTGAATGATTGTGTATAATGTTGATAGTAGAGTAGGAAGTTAGGGTTTTTTGATTCGAGGGTTCTCTAATTTCACTAAGGTTTTTTTTTTAATTTAGTTCCAAAGGGATTTTTAAGATTTTTGAAGATTGGGTTTCTTAGTTTTTTTTTTTTTCAATCTGTTCCCTTTCTTTAATCAAAAATTTTGAGGGTTTTATTGTCCAAGGTTTTGAGCAACCAGAAGATGAAATCATGCTCTTCTGAGAGGACCTTCAAATCAAAGAAAATCAACTGAAAGTGATCCCAAATTTGGCTGCTCAAGGAGCATTGAATGTTCTGTATAAGCTATTTCAGTTTTTTTAACCGTAATTTATTTATTTTGTTTATTATTTTTTATTTATAAAAAAAAGTGTTTACAGTCTCACCTTTACTCTTTCTCTTTTCAAAATTATTTCTGAGTATTTTCAAATTTCTCTAGATTAACTCTCATTCAAGCAATAATGATTTCAATCAAACTGGATAAGTTGGATTAAGTTTTTTTTAGGAAAGATGAATTTAATTAAGAAAATGATAATTAATTAGGAAACAATTGTAATTAACTTGAAACAACTAAGTTTTTTTTTAATTTTTATTTTAAATCTTTAATCATTGATTTTTGAACATATAAAAAAAACTCAATTTTGAATCAAATGTCACGTGGCATGTTAATTTCATTAAGATAACACTTTAACATGTCATGTAGTAGATAACGATGATTAACGAAAATTAATTAATAATTAATGAAAAAAATTATTTAATTTAAAATAAAAATTTAAAAATTTATTTAAATATAATAAAAAATAAACATTAAATTAATTTTTTATATATAATTCGGAGTTTTATTTGAATATTTAGTCTATTTAGAATAAATCTCTAAAAAATATTTTTGAAAAACATTGCAAGTGGTAATGTTTTCAAAAATTTCTAAATACAAATAACTATGAGACCTTACCAAAAGTGTTTAGGTATCTTTAATATTATTTTTACAAAAGAGGTTATTTTTAAATAATTATTAAATATTTTTTAAAAAATAATGAATGGTAATAATATTTAATAGTTTAAAATTTGTATCATAGTATTATTTTTGTGCTTAGCCTTCAAATAAATAAATAAATAAATAAAAAATTTTAATGATGAAATTTTAAGAAAATTATAAATCATAATTTTTTAAAACTTTTTGTAAATAATATTGAGTAGTTTTATAATGACCTTTTAAACCGGTATATATATATATATATAAATTGAATAATTTTATAATTTTAAACTTTGTTTTACATTAAGTTTTAATTGTATTCTACTTTAGATTAATATATTATAAAATTAGGTTTATAGCTTTTGAAGGTAAACAATGTTTTTGACAATCTTAAAAAAAACATGAGAAATTTTATTATATTTTAATTTTTTTAATAATAAAAGAATAGTTTCATTCCATAAACCACATTGAGGCAATAAACAAAACCAGTTGTCTGGATGTAACTAGCTAATTAAATTTATCTTTTTTTAATAAAATTCTAAATTTAACTTAGGCTCATTAAAAATGATCAACTTTGATTTAGAAAACAAAATTAGGATGCTAATTAAATTAAAGATAAATAGGATGACTTGTTGCTGAAATTTAATTTGATAATCTAAGGATTTTTAAAATATAATTGGTTAAAATTGGATATTACGTTTAAACTATTTTAATTTAGTCAAAGATAAATATGATTACTCATCTGTGACTTTTGATCAATAGAATTACAAAATTTAATTAGCTAAACCAAGTGTGTTTATCTTAAATTCCTCAAAACTTAATTATTTAATAATTAATTATATAATTAACTTAATTATGAATTTAATTATATATATAGAAATAATTTTGTTTGAAGCTCGAGGGCACTTGTATCTGTTTCCATGGGTCTTCATCTGTGCATAGCAAGGGCAGACATCCCTGTTAGCACTAGGGCCTGGAGGCACGCGCCCATCATTGCACCTTTGGCGGCAAGTGTTGCATGTTTTAGGGCACATATTGGGCTTCCATGACTTGCTGCACCTGAAGGCACACTTGGTTTGGCAATCTAAATATAGAATCAAAAAGGCATATTATTGAACCATCAATCCCACAATTTCAAATGCTCCATCAAGTATTTTTTTTAATTGAAAGAAGGGTATTTAAACTTTATTCTTTAAGTAAGATATTATGTATTAATCAATAAATTAAATATTCAGATATAAATGCTCTATCAAGTATATATATGGATTGATCAAAAGATGCATTGGGTATTTTCTTTTATCCATTGGGTATTTTCTTTTATCCATTGGGTGAGATGGATTCAAATTGTGCAGAGGCTTTAGCTATCAAAACTGCTGTACAGTTGTATTCTTCTTCCCCATTGGAAAGGTATGGCAAAAACAAATAAAGGATGCTTCATCAATGAAACTTTCTGACCTTGTCTTTCCCTTGTATTTCTCCCAATTTGGTTCCTTCCAAGATCCTAGCTGAAGAGTATTATGTGTATATATATATATATATATATATTTGCAGAGAGAGAGAGACTCGAGCTGTAACTTTTGGACATGATCGATGTTGAATATGGATCACAGAGTTTTTTGGAGGTGATGACTCAAGAAATTGCAACTCAGTCAATTTTTTTTTAAAAAAAATTCGATTAATTCGATTTTTGATCATAATCCACACCGAAAAGGTTTGAACTGACTGTTTGCTCTCTATTAATTGTAACAAATAATCGAGAAGGCCAGACTTAAACTAAGTATGAGTCCATCTTACTATTATTATTTAATAACACCCACTTATTACATGTGACTATAAAACCACAGAAACAGAACCCTCGTTCCTTTCTCCTTTATTCCTCTAAACCCCCCTGCCCCCTCTCTTTCTCTCTCTCTCTCTTGATTGACATTAAATATCCAAACTGAAAATCCAAAGATCTGGTATAATAAACGAAAAAAAAAATAGGGTTCAAGGGCACTTGAATTTGCCATGGGTCTTGATCTGTGAGTAGCAATGGCAGGATTTAAGATTTTATATGAAAGATGATTAAAAGGTAATCATACAAACCAATAAATTTATATATCTCAAATTTTATACATATAATAATAAAAAAATTAAAAATTAAAAGTGACCGTCACCACCAACTTAGCTCCACCACTGTAATATACGTATATATCGGCTACAAACCATCTACCTTAGTTTTGTAAACTATGAGAGGAAATAAAGAAAGGTAATATTAATATAAAGAGCAATTAGAAATAAATATTTATGATATTTATAATATCTTCTATTATAATTCAATTAATCTTAAGTGAAAAATTTATCATAATTAATTCATATGAGCAAGTTATGTTCAAATATTCATAATTTAATATAAACGACCAAAGAAACACATTCCGCCTTAATGTTAAAGTCTATATATCAATGATACCTTAAATTGATAAATTAGAACTAAATTTCAAAATCTCTTTTTTTTTTTTGCTCAATTAAAATCAAGACTACAATATTTATATATCTATAAGACTATAACTTTATTTTAAATGTGTTAATTAATATATTTTTTAAAATAAAAAAAATTCAGGATATATACTTTTAAAACAATTCAAATTTCAGAATTTGATATGTACATAGAAATCTAGGTTTGAGGAGCGTTGTGCATGGAAAGGAGCTTACGCGTCCTAGGAAACCAAACCCTTATATAAAGCCACCAATCCCACGCTCTCGTAACCCAATTCATAGAACCTTCTCCTCCACTTACACCTTAAAACCTAGAGACGAGATTGATATAAAGATATAGATAGGTTAGCTCTTTATCTCTATCTCTCTCTCTCTCGTTCATGTTATCAAGGCTTTTCCTTCTTTTCTTTTGTGTTTCTTGGGAGACCCCTAAAGGTATAGATTGAATAAGGGTTTGAGATAATTAAAGGGTTTTCCTGATTCTGATGAATGATCTTCTTGGTTGGTTTTTTCTCATGTGCTTCGTGAATATCTAGGGTTATTTAATTAAGATTTTCACAAGAACAAGGAATCTATTGAGGGTGTTTTTAGGGTCTAGAGAGAATGTATGAAGTTGCTCCTTGTGTTCTTTGTCGGATTCAGAATGAGGGTTCGAGATAATTAAAGGGTTTTTCTCATTCTGATGAATGATCTTCTTGATTGGTTTTTTCCTTGTGCTTCATGAATATATAGGTTTATTTTATTCAGATTTCATCAGGGATCTATTGAGGGTGTTTTTAGGGTTTATAGAGTATGGATGATCTTTGCTCGTTGTGTTCTTTGTCAGCTTTTTATTAATGTATTACAGATCTCAGATTCTGGGTTTGGGCTTTACATCAATTAGATTAGTTTTTTAATATGTTTCAGGTGAGATTCTTGATAAAAGTCTAAACTATAAAACTAAGAATCAAATTTTGAGGCTTTTTAAACTGTTCATCCTTTATATATAGAAGCAAAGAATATGCAATGGGGCTCCAATTAGTACAATTGTTAATTTGTGCCTCAATCTTGTTTGTTTTTCTTGTCTGTAAGAAATTTTTTGTATCTTTCCAGAGGTGATCATTTCTTTGTTTCGATTACCAGGTTTTAAACAAATCTTCAATGGCTTCTAAACGGATCACCAAGGAGTTGAAAGATCTGCAGAAGGATCCTCCTGTTTCTTGCAGTGCAGGTTTGTTTCAGTCTTTGTTTCCTTAATATATTTCCTTCTATTTACATATATCGATTTTGGTGTCTTATAGATCAACTAGAATTGTTTTTGAGGACAAGTTTTGTAGACAAAAACGTTTATGAGCTTGAAGAATAGTGTTTGTAGCTTCTCTTGTTCATATATAGATTCACTGGTTTGATCTTGTTCATAGGTCCTATTGGAGATGACATGTTTCATTGGCAAGCAACGATTATGGGTCCAGCAGATAGCCCTTATGCTGGTGGGGTGTTTTTGGTGTCAATTCACTTTCCTCCTGATTATCCCTTCAAGCCACCGAAGGTAACAAGCAACACAATTGATCATATCTGAAATAGATTAAGATTGTTATCCTATACACCGCTGAGTGAGTAAACCTGTCTTTACAATGTGTTTGCACAGGTGGCCTTCAAGACAAAAGTTTATCACCCAAACATCAACAGCAATGGTAGCATCTGTCTTGACATTTTGAAAGAGCAGTGGAGTCCTGCCCTTACAGTCTCGAAGGTAACTTCCATTGCTACCTTTTCCCTTTTTTTTTCAGCTGATATGTGTCAGCCTTTCTAAACCGGTAGGTCATGAACAAAATTTTTGCAGGTCTTATTGTCGATATGCTCGTTGCTGACGGATCCTAACCCAGATGATCCTTTGGTACCTGAAATTGCACATACATACAAGGCTGATAGGGCTAAGTATGAGTCTACTGCTCGTTCCTGGACCCAGAAATATGCCATGGGTTGAAGACTTGTGCCTACTTTGATGGTTGTTAGACTGCTTATGCCTACTCCCCATGGTTGCTATGTGTGCGCAAACAGCTTTAAATTTACCTCATTTATTACAAAGGAGATATTAAGTTGTATGGTTTCCTTCTTGAAGTAATTAAATTTAATATTATAAACCTTTGCTTCATCTATTTCTTTAAGATGATATTGATGTGCTTAATGATGAAACCACTTCATTATAAGTAGATTCTACAAACATGGAAAATCAATTTCCTTACTCTGAACTATTTGATTCATTTGCAAAAATTCAAAAAAAGAAGGAACAGCAGAAATTATGTATTATATATTGACAAGTTAAGGGTGAAAAGATATCAACATGGGAAACCAAATCCCAAACCCAAAACCTTTCCCATCCCTCCCTTCACTAGCACCTATATAAACTGTTGGTGGTTCATCCCACACACTAATAGCTAGGTACAAAAGGATGGTTACCTAATGATAAGATATGCAAAAGCAGTCAAAAGCAACAAAAACCTGCTGTGATTGTCACCCCGAAACATATTTATCCACTTACATTTGCTTTACCCCTAGCATCTGCTGTGGAGGTGGTTCACCTCATTCTTCAGCTGCTAGGGGGTTCAAGAATGTGGACTCTATCATTACTAAGCCCCAATGCTGTTTGATTTGGGTTATTAGATGGATGAGCTGCAATAAAAAGAGGGTAGACCTGTAAACCATATATAAAACAGTTTTAATGGTATAAATGGAGACAAAAGAGGAGTTACAAATTGGCACTGGGTTGTGCATGTAAGCAGTTACATTAATCTGACATCTTACAACTAGTGTTGTAGAGACAAGAAACTTTATACATCCAGTTTTGAAGCTAACATATATTGACTGACCATTTGAAGAACAGGTTGCAGATGTGATTGGAAGGTCTGCTTCTTTAGGAACCCACTGCAACAGAAAATTTTCACTCGTACAGATTGATGACTACTATTACTATATGAATCTATCTGACGTTTCTGAATTGTTTGTATCAGCTGAATAACATGATACAGTAAGGGTGCTTAATTTATGCCTATCAGCCTTTCATGGACAGCAAGCAGGTGAACCTGATCTTGGCGAAACTAAATAAAGTTGACCACTGGAGGGTCTACCACCAGCCCAAAGACAACACATAAACTTGCTTGCTAGCTTTCCCATCCATTTGCATTCCAAACGCACAGCCGCATAACATTCAAGTTCACCATGTCATGTATTCGTTCTTAATCATTTATACAATTGAAGTTGAAAATCATAAGGAACCATGCAATAAGACATGAAATCGAAGCGTCTATACGTTTTTATTTTTTTTTGAAAGAAAAAGGAGGTTGAAGGAAAGGGGGGTGGAGAAGAAAGTTAACCCTGCAAATTCAATGCCTATCAGAACCATAAGCAAATACACTTACTCCAGGGACTCTATATAAAGCAGTAAAAAAACCCAAGAGAAAATGATAACTTTAAGAAAACAGGTAAAATTAATATGGCTTTCTAATTGCCGATATGGCCTGCTGCTGCTGATACAAGCACATTTAAATTGTGAGAAAATGCCAGGCATGTGATATGCTTTTGATGACCTTCAAGCTTGGTTTGATTCTGTGGACACATGAGTTGTAGCAATGGAAAATATCAACGAACTTTTCATATTAGAGAGCAGAGTCAATGTATTCGGATAGATGAGTCATTGAAGCCTATAGCAAAATTATGCTTGATGATAAAGAACATAAACCATGTACAGGTGGGTGGGGGTTCTCCATATGTTGCCAATTTCTGCATTGTAACGGGAAGGCAAATAAGATATATATATATGAATAAATGCTGTTAAATTCAGAGTTTTTTTTCAAATATTATGTCATAAATTATGATATTAAAATGAAATAAGATCATGTGAGTGAGGGACTAAGAGATAGGGAAAGGGCAGAGATAGCTCCAATCTTTGCTGCCCCTATTGCCATGCCTTCACTCTCACACTCTCTCCCCTTTTCCTTTTGTCCTTATACAATGCACCAGCCAAAGAATCAAACAGCTGTATTTGCGCCTAATAGCAAAAGGCAACAAAAATTAAAGCAAAACAAGCTTCCAAAAGAAGGACTAGTCTTTTTGCTCAAAAACATTTTTACAGTTCACCCCAACTGCCGATGCCTGTGATTTCCCAGTAAACTTTGCACGTGATTCTTTAATGGCAAAAGCCAACAAAAATATCACTGCATATAAATCTAAACCCTTCTCTCTGCATTTCATCAATAACCTTATCATTTCACCGTTGCTAGGAACAAATGAAGCTCTTCTTGGTTCTTGTAGCGGCCATCCTCCTCCTACAGGTACATTGACCCTCTGATATCATATGGGATAAACTATTTTCTATTGAAATTTGCTCACTGAATCTTCTTTGGGTTTGGTCAGGCTCTGGTGCAAGCTTCTGCATTTAGCAATAATGCAAATTCTCTGGCCAATGTGAGTGTCCTCTTCAGTATTTTTTAGCTGTCTTTCACGGGCAAAAGTTAAGCTCCCCAAGAAATGAAATGACTTTTTCTTGTAGAATTTTGAACTGACTCTGACTTAGCTTAACTGATAGATGAGTACTCCATTTTGAAATTTTACATTTGTTTTGGATTCAGGTGGATGAAGGAAGTGACATGGTAGCTCTTAACAAAAAATATCATAAGAAAATCAGTAAGTATTTTTATTCTTTTCCCATGTATGTAAGCTTAATTTATGTCTCTGACCAATTGATAGCATTGTCACTTTTTAGAGAGTGCTACATACAGAAGTAACTAAAAGATTCTGTTGTTCTTTTGGGAAAATTCAGATTGCAACAATGCATGCTCAAGGAGATGCAAGAAGGCATCAAGAAAGAATGTTTGTCACAGAGCATGCAAGACTTGCTGCAAGAGATGCCACTGCGTTCCACCTGGTACCTATGGCCACAAGCATGCCTGTCCCTGCTATGCAAAGCTCAAAACTCATGGGAATAAGCCCAAGTGCCCCTGATTTCAAACCCACAATTAGGTATATTTGGATTATGAGGAAATCTACCATTTGCTGTAATAAGGGAAAATATTCCCACCAGTTCTATTCTTTGAACTACTAGCATTTAGTGCTCATTTGGGATTGCCTGATCAGGATCATCATTTGAATGATCAAACTCCATTATTGCTTCTACTTTATTAGTTCTTATTTCAAGTTATTATTCATGCAGAAAGGAGCTAACTCTCTGCTTAAGGTTTCAATCAAAGCTGCCAGTAGGTCTGCAAAAACAGCAGAAACAACTATAACTGAAACCTTAAGCAGAAATCATGTTCCATTACAAGTTCAAGTTACCTGATGAAAACAGTTTGTTTGAGTCTATTAACATTCGAAATTTTATTTGATTAGAATTTTATTTTACGTAAAATATTGAGTAATTTTATAATTTTAAACCTTTTGTTCTACATTGACTCCTATTTGTATTCTATTTTGGAATCCTATATTATTAGACTGGGTTTATAGCTTTAGAAGGTATACATAATTCCTCACTTTAAAATTCCTCAATTAACTAAAGACACATTGCACCTTTTTGTTTGCTTAAAACACAGAATTTTTTTTTTTCACTTTCAATTGTTAAAAACATAATAGTTAGGTCTATGAGCTCTCCTAATGACCAACATCAAATCCTTTGAGAGCTGGTTGCATTAACATACATAGAAATAATTTTGTTTGAAGCTTAAGGGCACTTGTATCTATTTCCATGGGTCTTCATCTGTGCATAGCAAGGGCAAACATCCCTGTTAGCAGTAGGCCCTGGAGGCACACACCCATCATTGCACCTTTGGCAGCAAGTGTTGCATGTTTTATGGCACATCTTGGGCTTCCATGACTTGCTGCACCTGAAGGCACACTTGGTCTGGCAATCTAAATATAGAACCAAAAAGGCAAATTATTGAACCATCAATCACACAATTTCAAATGCTCTATCAAGTTTTTTTTTTTTAATTGGAAGAAGAAGATTTGAATCCTATTATTTAAGTAAAGAGATTATGTATTAATCAATGAGTCAAATATTTAGGCATAAATACTTTATCAAATATATATATATATATATGTATGGATCAAAGGATGCATTGGGTGTTTTCTTTGATCCATTAGGTAAGATATTCAAATTGGGCAGAGGTTTTAGCTATCAAAACTGCTCTACAGTTGTATTCTTCTTCCCCATTGGAAAGGTATGGCAAAAACAAATAAAGGATGCATTATCAATGAAACTTTCTGACCTTGTCTTTCAGCTGCAACCATGGTCCCCATCTGATAATATTATCATAAAGAAATGATTAATTTCTGTTTAGGGGAATGTAATACTACTAACAAAAACTGCTCTCAAACCTTAAAATCATTGTACCTCAGATATTAAGAGAAGACAAAGAACAGCAAGTACAAGTGTTGTCTTGGAGCTGGCCATTTGCAAACTTGTCAGTAGGATTTCTCCTTTTTTGTTGTTCCTATTTGCCTCTTTCCCTCGTATTTCTCCCAATTTGGTTCCTTCCAAGATCCTAGCTGAGGGGTTTGTATATATATAGAGGCTAGAGCTGTAACTTTTGGACATGATGTTGAATATGGATCACAGAGTTTTTAGGAACTCAAAACTTCTACCCTAGCTATTTTTTAGAGGTAATAACTCAAGAAATAGCGATTAGTACGTTTAAATCGGGTTTGCCATGGAATACAAGTTAGGAATTGTAACTGTTAAACCATATGGCCATAGGCAGAAGCCACAGCAATATCAATTCGTTCGGTTGCCTTTAATTGTTCAATCGATTCAGTCGATTTTTTAAGTAAAATCGATTAATTCAACTTTTGATATCATACAATTCGATCGGTTCAGCAAGACTTATAACAAATAATTGAGAAGCAAGACTTGAGCTAAACATGAGTCCATCTTACTATTCTTATTTAGTAACACTGACTTATTACATATGACAACAGAGCCACAGAAACACAACCCTTGTTCCTTTTTCCTCTATTTTTCTCTATAAACCACTCTCTCTTGATTGACATTAAAGATCCAAACTAGAAACTCAGAGATCTCGTAGAATATAAGGAAAAAAAAATTGGGTTCAAGGGCACTTGAATTTGCCATGGGTCTGGATCTGTGAGTAGCAATGGCAGGAATCTCTGCTAGCTAGAGGACCATCAGGCACACAGTGATCAGGGCACCTGTGGCAGCAGGCAACGCATGTTTTATTGCACATCTTTGGCTTCCATGACTTGCTGCATCTCTTTGCACACTTGCCCGGGCATTCATCAGGAACTGGATGTGTTTAAGTCATTAGAACAAATTAAGATGGCAAATAACAATTGATACTTAGATATCAACCAGAATCTCTCTTACCCTGTGGCCCTGGGGCTGTGGCTGTTTGAACTTCAGCCATGAGTATTCCCACCTGAAAAATAAAACCAATAGTTAGCAAAAAGGCCAATCTAAACACGTGAAATCTCTGCTTGACAGAAACATCAACCAATGGCATGGGCATTACCTCTGATAGTAGGACAAGGCAAAGAAGTGCAAGTGAGAGTGTTGTTGTCTTGGTGCTGGCCATTTTCCAACTTTCTCAAGGCTGAAATAGAGAGATGATAAAGAGAAAGAGACTGCTTCTGTTTTGAACTATACTTTGTTCAGTATTATGGGAACTTGGTTCCTGCCAAGATTCTAAATCCTGCTTTTATAGTGGTTGGGCATCGCCATTGACCTCAAAAGGTTCCTGGGAAACTTCCAGTTCAATAGCACATTTCCCAATGTTACTATACCATAATACAAGTTTGCCATTGAATAAAAAGATTTTAGCTGTTTGATTGTGTGAGGGAGGGAGGCATAAAACCCAATCAAGAAGATAAAAATCCTGGTAAAAAACAAAACAATTATAAAAAGATGGTTTGGGTCTTTTTCCTTTATCTGGCAAAGGCATTATCTTCCCTAATAAAGGTACTTTACTACCACCTCCAAATGGACATTAGTGCACCGCCTCAGAGTTTTCTTATTATCTTTTCTATTTTAGTAAGTTTTACTAAAAATTATAAAAATAAAAATACCGAGTAGGATTTGCAAGACTTACTAGTCATATTTATAACATATGTTCTTGCCTGATATATTAATATATTTTAATAATAATAATAATAATGTGACATATCGGTTAAGTATCATTTTATTTTTTATGTCAACATCATGTTTTATAAAAAAAATATAAAATTTTAATTAATGATAACTAATCAATAGTTAATTATAATAATTTATTTAATTTAAAATAAAAATATAAAAAATTTTGATTGAATGAACTTTTTAAAATATTAAATTTACTTTATTATTATTATTATTATTATTATTATTATTTATTATGGTGTGCATTGTATGTACTATGGTTTCACCCTTGCATACAATATATTCATTAATATGTGTTAATATGTAGGTGTATTAAAAGTGATCTTTCATTGTAAATCTTAAATATGGAGTCCATTGTCTGCCTGCAATGGGAATATTTGGACCCTTGTGCTTGGTTCTTTCATGTTGCTGGTGAGGCAAACCGCGTAGCAGATGGAAAAAGACACGGGATTGTCCTCCCAACATGGATTTCATTGTCTCTCTTAGATTCGTTGAATGCCTATTATTATACATTTGTAATGCAATCCCGTACAGCTAGACTTAACTTCCCTAATTAAAACCTGTACCGACGCGCAAATGAGACAGCTGTATCTGCACCTCTACAGCTGAGGCTGTAGAGGGTGTGTTCTCCTGTTTAACACACTGTCACTTTTGTCTCCATTATGGGTTCCCACTAGGCATCACAGTCTCCATTGCAGCCAGCAAATAACCCAGTAGGTAAGGTCTGCAAATGTTGGTCCCAGAAGTGGGATGGGGAGTTGTTTTATGGGCTATGATAATGGGATTGTGCTTGCTAGTGTGCTACAACCTGGTTAAAGGGCTTCCAAGTAATGTGCTGTATATTGGCAAGAGTCAATGGCTTTTGATTTTGGATATGACGGCCATTAATGGTGGAAGGAGATCCTTTGCAAGCTGTCTATGGTGTGGAGGAGTTTGGGACTCATTGTTTTGGTCGTCAACCGACATTGTTAAAGCAAGAAGAAGCTAAGAGTCACATGAGAAGAGTGCCATCAAGGAAGGATCATGTTGACTTGCATTAATTATGTCTTGTTTATAAATTGAATAAGACTTAAAGTGAATTCAACTGCTCAAATCTAACTAAACTGATACTGTCATTGACAGCTCACTCAATTCACTTAAATCTGTCATCCACGTGTATAAAATTAGTTGACATTACAAATAAAGGTCTCAATGGGTACTTGCACTCAATCCCAATATAAAATTAAACTATTTTATAATTGAATTTGAGACTAATTCGAGTAATAATTTTACTATTTATATTGAATTCAGATATCACTCATTGAAATACTTACTATCTAAAACTCGATTACGTTGATATTCAAGTTTAGATTGATACCTAAATTAAACCTGAACCCTATACCCATTTATAATTGCAAACACACATAAACAAATTTGATGCCATAACAATTGAATTTCATAAATAAAATTAAACAAAATAATTTAAAAATTCTTAAGTTATTCAAGAATATTCAAATAAATCTATAGTCTTCTATTTTATTTAATTAAACTTTTTTATTTTTATTTTGAATCAAATAAATCTTTATGGTTAATGATTGATTAACTATTATTAATCAAAATACTATTTATTATTTTATATTCATATAAAGCCGATATGAAAGAAAAAAGTACCATGTGACTATGTTATAATTTTTTATAAGCATGGCATGTTACTATCTACTATAATATATTAATATGTCAAGTTAACACCACGTGATATAAAATGATAAGTCTTTTTTACTTAAAATAAAAATATAATAACTTGATTGCATACAATAAAAAAATAAAAATTTATTTAAATTTTCATAAATAGTTCAAAGATTTTTATTAAGAATTATGCCATAAATAAACAAATAGAAGTAGATAAGTGATCTAGAACTTCTTTCATTTCATTTTCCTTTCCCCAATTTTACATCATCCTCCATATGAGAAAAGAAGAGAATGGACATGAATAAACATAAAGATTAGTTTATTAGATAAACCCAAAAAGTAGCTTGCATTTACATTCAAATGGCATATGGTGCTTATGAATTCAACAAAGTATATGCTCCCTCTGTATGGACAAATATTTGAAACCTGAAGACAGCTAGAACCTAACCCAGCATCGTGTACATTGTGCCATACAATCTCCTTTACAATCAACATTGTAACCTAACACTTTCGGGTTCCGAAGAAGAAGATTTTTCAGAGACTTACCTTTTATTCCCCAGTCTTTTTCCAATATCTGCACATTTGTTCTCAACTCATGTTCGATACTGCATCCAAGCACTTCCGGAAATTTTTTAAGCAACTTGTAGAGATCATCATCAGAGAGACTTAAAGTCCTGAGATAATCTAATATTTCGTTAACGATTTCTAACTTTGGAACTTCCTTCTTGCGTTCTTCGCCCCAATAAGGTGAATGGACATGCCCAAATGCCTTTCCGAGTATCTTGTCTTCCTCCTCTGTGCTGAAATTAAATGCAGACAAAGCTTGCCTGCATGCTTCCCATGTTTTTCTGTCTTCATTACTCAGTGCTGAATTTTCAATTTGTGAAGTTGAATGTATTGCCCATTTCTTAGAAGAAAAATGGGTGGAACCAAATCTCTTTATTGCTTTCTGTGGGACGCTACTGGAGAAGGTTACACTGAATGATATGATATTTGGTGCAGATGTTGCAAGATCAGCCTGCAAGAAGAATTGTGAAAATAAATGTGCATACTCATATATAAGTCGGTGCAGTTGCATAGAAGGGGAGATTATGCCATGGCCTAAATGTTTAACGAGGTCATAACCTGGGAACCAACAAATTGTCTGTAAAGTATTGAAAACATGAAACAAAACCTGGAAATATTGATGTAAATAAAATGCTCAGAAAAGGTTTTAATGATTATAGCTCCAAGCATATGCAAATAATTCGACCTCCAAATACTGTACATATGCTAAAAATTATTTTTCCCCTAAATATCCAATATTTGGAAGGCTAAATATACACTAATGGTTTTTCGGTACAACTCACATGTAACAAAACATTAAACTGTTTATCACTGCATCAAAACTTTACTTGATGAAGTTTCCTTAAGAAGTCCTGATGTGGAAATCAGGAAATCTACTCCAAAGTCCAAAATACATGCTTTGATCCCTTAAAGAGGATGCAAGCTTGAAATGATGAAGAAATTTGAATTTTCTTAAGTCCCTGATAATGTTTGCTATCTTCCCCTCGCCTCTTTCAAATGCATGTCTATTTCCAGAATGCAGAGAAACTCTTGCTGAAGAAGCCTTGTCAATAATCTGATGTTAGGCCCAGAAATAATTTAAGCACAAGAAAAGACTTTTCTCTTAGAAGCACTCTTAAGATGGATCTTAATAAGGATTTTGACTCCCATCAATTGGGGTTTCTTAATAAACACTCTCGAGGCTGCAGACACTTCTAATATTCCTGTAGGTCGTGTGTGTATGTGCATATTTAGTTAGGTGGAGTGATTCAATAAGAATGAATACTTTTGGCACTAAATGGAGGGCTTTTTTGAATGTTTCTGAAGGGCAAAGGGGTAGACTAGGTAATCACTTCGTGATTGCCAAGGAGATGCTACTATAATTTTTGCTTATCATCCCAAATGCACAATTAGCCTCACTAATTTTTTGTTTAGGAAGCAATATGGTTTTCATTGAAAAGAATAAGATTCTCTTCTTGCCATTCAAGCTATCGGGAAAATCTCCTATATGCCACCAGGATTGCAGCTAAATAGCTCGAAGAGTAAAGCCTTAAATATGTAAGACTTACTGTGGATGCCAAAAGCACGAATCAGAGAGACAGATATTGGGAGTATTGCAAGATAAGAAGCATAAAGTAGACTGGCATAGGTTGTTTGGGTTTCTAAAATAGTGATTTCTGTTGGCCCCAGCTAGAGTGCACAAAATTTTGACAAAGCAGGTCCCACTTTAAGTGAGAAATATCCTCTTAACTTCAAATTTTTTACTCTATAACCCACTTTATATCAGGATGGATTCAAATAGGTATATACTCAATTTTTGCTCATTTGTCCCTCTAGGTCCATTACAACTCTGCCCAGAGTGGAATCCTCCTACAGTATTTCACTGTTTCCATCGGTTAAAGATAGAAGGTGTGAATCAAGATCAGCAACAGCAGACTTTTAAGTATTCACAGCAGAAGTATCCTCTTTAATTGTTGCCAGAAAGAAAACAAAAACCAAGCCATTTCTCTACATAGGTCATATGGAGCAGACTCATGTCCTTCCAACTTAAATTGTGAATTTTTTGCAGATAACTTACCCAGGCCAATCTTTAGTTAGAGCAGATGATCATTTAGCTTTAATTTGCTTTCATAAGCCTGAGATCTTTCTCCTTCATTCTTAATTTGTTTTGGTCTTCTCTTCATTCTAGATCATAGACCAGAATTTTGAATGGTCGTATAAAAAAATGAAGGTTCTTCTCTTATTCTACACTTGCTCTTCTATAATCCAAGTTTTGCAATGGTGGCAAATCAAGCAACCTAAAGAACTCCTCTTACCAGGATAGTACTCCGGTGTTATTCATCAAGCTGACCTTATAACCACCCATGTCAGGTCATTTTAAAGAGATTTAGAAGTTGATTTACTGTTTTTATTATTTGCTATTGGCATTTATCTTTTTCATTACTACTTAAGAAACATACCTAATCCCATAACCCCAATAAAATAGACATCAGCAGAACATATTGTTAATAAATTTTATAATTTACATGTGTCCAGAGGATTAAAATCCTCCAAGCATCCATGATATTTGTAAGTGTCTGATATTTCTCAAGAATGAGACATGAGATGATACTTACAGTACAAAAACAAGTTGCAGAATCGAATGTCAACGGAGAAGAAGCCAATGATTTCCCTGGCATCCCTGCACTATCAGATAAATAACAACTGCTTAAAAAACAAAACAGCCAACAAGTTTGGAGCAATTTAGAGAGAAAAGCAATAATAAATGTATTCAAAATCATTTGAAGGCCACTAAATAATGTTTAAGATCATCATGAGTTATGCAATTAGCACAATGATCCTCTTACATCCTCTCAGTATCCAATTAAGCATCAGACTGCTAAGTTCAAAACACCCAGCAAACTCAGACCAGCTAAATCTCCATTTAATCAGACAATGCCCCAATAAATCTTTTAATCATATCTTTTTAATTACTTTTAATTACAGCCTCTCAATATGCCATTTACAGCATGCATATAGTAGTCTTGATAGTGGGATGAATATTTTAATACTCAAGTTTATGACTCCTAAATGGAACCAGCGATGGTTTATGGAGCTTTCCCAAAAATTCCATTTTGTGGCTACATCATATTCATTTATGTAGGTTTTTTAACTTTAGGCTGCCTTAAAATCACTAAGTTTAGAGATATTGCAGGGAAGAATAAGCAATTGATTAAACTACTTTCGACTGAACTAGAAACTAAAATTATTTGGGCAATAGAACTCTTCATTAAAAGCATCCTTTCTTTTTTTGGCCAAAATCCAGGAATTCTTTCAAGCTAAGTAGATTGCACTAAGGAAATATTGAATACAAAGTCCACAAGAATACCACCATACCAAAAAAAAAATATCAACACTCAAAACTGCTAGGTAGCTATGGAAGGTACTATTAATTCATCTTAAAGTACTTTAAGTAACAGAAAGTTTCCATTTCAATCTTTAGTATATGAAGCCATAACTAAGAAGAAGGCAATTGTATTATTCTCTTCATTTGTTCTACAATAATAGATTAGTAAAAAGTCCGAAGCTAACCAAAGAAAAGAAAAACACAATTAGAAGTTTGCGTTTAGGTCTTTCATCAACGAAACCACAACTCACATGTATCTAACTACATATAACAATCAAATACTCCTATACCCCCCACGTGTAATAGAAGAGATGACAACAGCCAAACTGTTTAAACTGATCTTCAGGACAGCAAGCTCCATCATCTAAACGAACTAGTATTTAAAAAGCATTGGTTAAAAATAACAACCTAACAAGAAATACCAGTATGAAAGACAATCCCATAATCCTCAGCATTCTTTTGAAATTGGAATTGGGAAGCACATTAATCCGATAAGCACATTAATCTAGACTAAGCTTTACTCATGGTTGAACTCAAACTAGAGGCCTCATTAAGGAACCCAGAACTGCACCATTATGTTGAACCTACTTCCAACTTGAATGATTATTTACCAAAACTGCAACAACAATAGAACATAAAAGGCCTAGTCCTTGAAACCCTTTCCCTTGATTATCAACCTCCTGAATATGGAATGTGAAATGCAGCAAAGCCAAGCCTACCTTAATTCCAAACCAGCAACTATTCATAACTAAAACATCTGAAAACTATAAAGTTTGATAGGCAATTCTTTCCTTCACATGGGGACATATTCAAGGCTTAAAAATCATTCAATACCAAAACCATAAAAAATGCAAATAACCCATATTCACTAGTCTCAACAAGATTGCAAATTTGAATTGTTAGAGCAGAGAAAGAAAAATTACCTGACACAAGAGAGTCTTGTACCTGTGACCAGAGAAAGAGCTGTTCCAAAGAGAAAAACTGATGTCTGGTCTGAAGGGAAAGCCAAGGGAAGAAGGGACCCACTCCAAATATGCGCACCACAGATTCTCGGTGCCTTCCCTTGCCTTGCCTTGCCTTGCCTTGGCTGTCCTCTGGCTATAGCCAGCAGCCAGCCAAGTTTCTAGTTTTGACTGACCCTGTCTTTGATTGTGTGTATTGACCATTGAGGATACTTTGGGCTTGGTAGAATTCTCTCCCCTAACCATTTTGGATATGGTCTGGCTTGTCTTGTCCAATGGAGCCCATGACTTCCTCACTGCAAGTTTAGTTCGCATAATGTCATAGCAAAACAATAGAATGCTTAATAAACGGGAATAAAATGAAATAAAAATTAATGATTATTAAATAGTTTAATTCATGAAATAGAATTAACATTATTATTATATTATTTTGATATTTGGTTGGTAAAAATAATTTTTGAATAATAAAAATATATGATAAAAAAGATAAAAATACCGCTCATTATAATTTAAGATTTTCAATTTAAAGTATTTATTGTTTATAATTTATTAAAATTATTAATAAAATAATTAATTTAAATTTATATTATTTTTCTTTATTTTTTTAAATATTAATATATTAAATTTTATAGTTTATAAATATTAATAATTTATAATTAAATCATTAATATGATTATTTTATTTTTATTTTTATTATTTAATATTTTTAAATATTAAAATATTAATAATTTATTATTAAAATTGTAATTTAATTTTTTATATTTTATATTAAAACTTTAATATTTTTTATTTTAAATTTAAATTTAACAATTATAAGCAACCTCAATTTCTATTGAAGCTGTTGGTAATTTTCATTCATGGACAAATCACTATTGGAAGTTGTAAATTTGGACAATTTGTGACTTGCAACAACATAACTTGGTGCAAAGGATTGAAATTGTGTTGAGTTGCTGTGATTGCAATTGCAAAGACATAAAAAGTATAATAATCTTTATCCTCTAGTTAGGGTTTATTTATACGAAGTAATCAAATTATGATTTGTTTTAAGGGAAAAGTTTTGAATATTTGCTGGGTATATAATATGATTGCATGGTTTATCCCTAATAGTGGATTGGTTTTCTAATCACGCGACCTTCATTCTTGCCACCAAGGGGCATTTAGCCAAGGAGGTTGCTCCAAGGGTGAGCAAATTTTGGTCAAAATCGAATTAATCGACAAATTCGGTTAATTCGGTTTTGATTAATTTTAATAAATTGGTTAAAAAATTGAGTTAAATCGGTTTTGTTGGTTCGGATCGGTTAAAAAATTTGAAGTCGATTAATCGAATTAACCGATTTTGAAATAAGTATATTTAAAGATTTTTATTACATGTATACACTCATTGATTTTCTATATATATGTGTGTATGTGTGAATAAAGAGTTAAATTTAATCATCAAGAGAGATTTTCTTATGTGTATTAACTCATACATTTTTTCTATACTCTTATATGAATAAATGACTTAAATTTAATTATCAAAAAATAAAAAATAAAATATACTTTATTTAGACATTAATATTATTAAATATTTATATAAATATAACCATACAAAAATTAATGTAAAATTAATGCAAAATATAATGAAAGCTTAAGTTATTTATATAACTTATTATATTAACTTATTTTTCTCTTAAGTTATTAATGTATGATCCTATATATAGTATATTTACTAATATACAATATATAGTCTATACAATATAGAGTACTATAGACTATAGTAACTTATTTTTTTTATAAATTATTAACAAACTATATTATTATAGTATAACTTATATTACTAAAGTAACTTATATTAATATTAGTATTTTATACTAATGTAACTTATATTAATAATTAACTATATTATAATATGTAACAATATATTATATATATTCCTTTTAGGAAAAAACATATACAACATATTATATATATATAGTATATAGTATACTTATTAATATACTAACTAGTCAATAACAATTTACTATTATATATAACAATATACTATTATATAGTAAATATGTTATATGACTTCTTAGTATACTTATATACTATATAAGTAAATATTAACTGTATGTAGTAATATTTTAATACACAAAACATTGCATTAATATATAATTATACATTATATATAATATATATCAATACAATATATATAAGTGCGTGTACTATATAATTATATATAGTAAGTATTAATACAGTATATATTATTTATAGTTATACATTATATAATATATATCTTAATACACTATAGATAGTATACTTATTAATACACTAATTTATCAATATATATTACAACAAGTATAATTAGTCAAAAATTACATATTAATAATATATTATATTAGTATATTAATAAAATTATAAGTAATAATGTAATATATGGTAACATAACGTACATTATTAATATATTATTAAATAATTTTAAAAATAAAAAATAGTTAAAAAATCGATTAAAACTAATTTAACCGACTAAAATCGGTTAATATAAAGTCAAGCAAAGTTGTTAAATCAATTTGATTCAATTAATTTTTTTAGAAAAATCGGTTAAGTTGGTTATTAATATTCCTTAACCGAATTAACTGATTTAATTGAATGCTCAACCCTGTGCTCTATTGTTTTTTTAACATGTGGTTAGGTATAAGATCATATCTCAAATAATTGTGAGCGATAGAGATAGACGCTTCATTGGGCGATTTTGGATAAAACTCTTCAAATTGTTGAGAACAGACCTAAATTTCTCGATCAAACTTCATTCGTTAATCAATAGGTAGACTAAGTGTGTGAATGGGTTTGTGAAAAGTGTATCGGAGGCATTATAAGCACAAACTAAATGATATATGTATACATTTTTTTTCTATTTAAAGAGTTGAATTCTAAATTTTCATCCATGAATTCATGGCTTTTTTTGGCAATAATATATCAGCATTTTGTTTTTTCTTTAAATCCATTTTTTGCTTTTGGTAATTAGGGCATAAGTCTCAAAGGATCTTATCTCAATACCTCTTACTATTTTTAATGGCAAAGTCAAGGTAGTGGCGAGTTAGTGACAATCACTTCTTAGTTTTTAATTTTTTATTATTATATGTATAAATTTTACTATATATAATATGATTACTTTTTTAATTATTCTTTAATTATCTTTCATACAAAATTTTGATCACTCTTTAATCATTTCTCATATAAAATTTTAAATTTATATTTAATTATTATTATTTATTTATACGTAAAGGGCAACCGACAAGCTAAGCCAACCTTTATATATTTATAAACTTACATTATTCTATATGTGAAGAGAGCAGAGACAACAGCCCTGGGAGAAAGTGTTGTTATAATATCGGACAAGTTGTGACAACATACAAACTCTTCCCATCTACTCATTCCTCTTTTAAGATAAAAGCAAGAAGATATGAACACAAGCAGCCTAATAGATACAATACAAACAAGGATTAATGCATACATATATATATCCCTTTGGATTCATTCATCATCATCACGTGCCATGGTCGAAAGTATCAATCATTCAATCAACAGTTGTTATCTGGGTCTTGGGGACCTATATCCAACAATCCAACCCCAACGGTGGTGCCTAGGAAGCAACGGACACGAGCAAACAAGTGGAAGACTGAGCAATGATTTTGTTTTCCTGTTCTTGCTTGTTCTTCGATCATGAGGGCTAGCTTCAGCCTGCATGGTTTCATCATTGCATGTTCCTCTGTTGTGCCATAAACTGAAATGGCTAATACCAAAGTTTCACACAATGGTAACCTGGATGTGCATGTCCTAGACCACAGTCTACACTAACATGTAAGTATTGATGAATCAAGATTTTGCACGAAGAATGATTAAAGAGTTATCAGATTATGAATCGAGTTAATGATTTGATTTGAAATAAAAATTAATAATTTTTAAAATAAAATTAAATTATAATATAAAATTTAAAAGTGACACTATCACCTCTCGTCACTATCTTTCATCCGTCATTATTTATAAGGTATTGTTTGTCTTTACTTACTAATCTTATAGTTTTGCTTTATAAAAGACATCTTCTAAACTGAAAATGATCTGAATATTTAAAATAATCAATCGTACTTTAGTACATAATCGAAGCAGAATTCAAGATTCCCTTCTAACACTATGAGACCTTGGTTTGCTTTGATTTTATGTCATTTACTTTGATAATGTCTGTTTTTTTAATGTTAAAATACATAAAAAAAACTTAGACATAGATAAGGGTTCTGTGTATTTATTTGCAATAAGTATATTAGCCTAATTCAAAGTTAAAAAAGCCTCCCACAATTAACATTTTTATATTTTATTTAATAATAATTGTTTGTATTTTTCATTTAAAAAGATAAATTTAAATCCATTTTTTATATAAAAAAGAAAAAAAAAACCCTCCGTGACCATCACTATCTATTTGATTTTCCTCTTAAAGATAATCATATATGATTTATTTCACATTAAAATGATTAAAATAATATAAATGAAGACTATAAAAGCTCAATTTGTTATTTATTAAGACATGATTCAATAGTTTTTCGAGTTTAAAGATATATATTTTACCCTACATTATTTAGTAAGTAATTGATTTATTAGTGTTTCAAATTTAAAATAATCTTTTGAATTTTTTTTTGAATTTAATTAATGAAATATGAAAAGAACGAATTTAATTTTAAAAGTTTATTATTTTCGAATCAATTAATAGAATATGAAAAAAATTGAAATATATCTTGTAATTTTTCCTTTTTTTCAACCATTTTAATTAAATTTAGTGATTAGTAGAATATCTAAAATTTTTTTTGAAGGAAACTAATTTATATTCTATTTTTTCTCTTTTTCAAAATTTTATTTTTAAATCATTAATTTATGAAATAAGAAAGGATTGAAATTAGTATATGATAATGTTTTACGACTTTTACTCTCCCTGTTATTAATGAGACAAAAAGAAACACTTGAGCTATTTATAAAAACTTTTCATTTCAAGCCAAATATTAGTATTAATTTTAATTTTATTCAAAAAATAAAAACATAAATAATTCCAAATTTTAATTTAAATAAAAATTTAAAAATTTAATCAGGTATTTATAAAGTTCAAATACTTTATAACATGACCGAGTTTGGATTTATAAAATAAAACACTTATTAGTGCATATTTCATTATAATATATTTATCAAAATTCAATAAAATTAATTAATTATTAAAAATAAAATTATAAATCCGATAAGCTAAGGATGGTTATAAACAAATGCGAATCAAGGACAAAACAGTAATTTCGACTTACTTATAAAAGCCGTTAGCCCGGTCTCCATCTCCGGTACCCTCCCATCTCCGATCCTTCTTTCTCCGTCTAGCAAAACAAATATTATTTTTTTTAAAAATAAAAAATTCATTTCTTGTTACACACTTCAAATCCTTTTTTCTCTTTTTATCTCACGACATATACACAAAAAATATAGTATAATTTCTTTTTTTTTTTTGGGATTTTTGTCTGGCTCTAGAAGCAGTGAGCTAAGTAGAAAGAGAGAGGGAGAGACAGAGAAGAGGAGATTACTATGCGAGAATGGCTCAGTACAGGCAACAGTACCACTACGGTAACGGATCGACGTCGGATCATTTGGCCATTGGGGTTCGAGGAGGCGGCGGCGGAGGAGCCGGGAATAAAGCCGCCCGATGGCGCCGATCGGGGCGTGGAGACAAGAACCGCCGAATCTCCATCGGCTCTCTCATCGTTGTTCTCTCTCTCGTGCTCGTTGTAACTGTTCTCGTATACTATTACATCTCCACTGATAATAATGATAATAGTGAAGGTCAGTTTTAGATTTTCTTTATTTCTTTTTTTTTCCCAGTAAATTGTTGTTTGCTTGCTAAGGAAAAAATGTGAGAAAAAGAAACTGAAATTTGAGATTTCAGTTACTACTACTTATCTGCACTTGTTTACAGATTAATTACTTTATTTAGAGATCAACGCCAGTTGTTTACAGTTACGATTTTTGGATTCAGAGAAATGGAGATCAAAGAGACAAGAAATTTGACTGAGCTCATTTGTTATGTTTTGGCAGTTTCCTGATGTAATTAATATAATTTTCATCACATATTAGTTTAGATTCGAAAACTTAAAGAAAAATGATTATTATTTTGTGGCGAAAATAAATTAGAGGTTAGGAATGTTATGAACTTGCTTTATTTAGATACTGCGATTATGTTATATGATTTTATTTTTTGGTACAACTTTTTCTTGTTATATGATGAATATCAATTTGATTTGTTTTGGCGAAACCAGTGGAGTAACTTTCCTTGTTACGGTTTAAGTTTGACTTTTGTCTATGAGTTAATTGTAATAGAATACGTTTCCAAGTATGAAAGATCATATGATCTATTGCTGGGGGAATTTTTTAACTAGATGTATGTTGCTGCAGAATTAAATAGTTATCATCCTAAGGATGTTGATTCCAAGGTTGATTCTGATTTCCTTACAAATGTGACACGAATGGACAGTTCTAAAGTCCTTAGTTTTGGCCGCAGTTCCATAGCACATGGCCGTGATTCACGATATTGGGATAGGGATGATAGGAGAAGGGATGATGATTATAATGAGGATGTGGTGGAGCATAATATGATGGATTCTAGTGATGAGTCTCTTGATGGTGGCCATGTTCCCATGAAAGTGAAGAATGAGAAGAAGGAGGCTTCCCTTGATCCTAATAAGGATCTGGATCATAGAGCTGTTGGGTTGTACAATGAAGCTGGGCGCAATGAATTAAAAAGGTATGAGAAAGAATACGAGTTATCTCTGAAGGATGGGGGCAAGTTACAAAAAGAACTTGAAAATAGCCGTCAGCTCTCTGACAGTAAGGACTTTGGATTGCATGATGAGGTTGATGATGCTGATGACCACTATAATGATGACATTGATTCTAGTGATAGTCAAATGGAAGATTATGATGATTTTGGACATGACAAGGAGGATAACATAGATGAAGTAAAATCTCATAATGAACATGTTAAAGAGTCCTCCACTTTCTCTAAAACTAAGGATCGGCATGTTGTCAAAGAGGTTAAAGAAGAATCCATGTTATCTAGGGAGGTCTCTCGAGATTTTGGTGATGTTGATGCTAATTCTCAACATGTTGGTTCCCTTGGTCGTAAAGGTGCAAAAAGCTCACGGGCAGATTCAAAAAGAAAGCCAAGGCGCCGCAAATTTTCAGGTAATTCCATTGCTTTCTTATGTACATGTCAGATGTCATTACACATGAGGACATACATAGTCTTGTCTGTCTTTGCACATTCTATGCAGCTTGATTTCAAGATAGCAAATCCTGCTTAGATCTTCGGACTCCGGTATTCTGATTTAAAATTGACATTGTGTGTGTGTGTGTGTGTGTTTTTTTCATTTTTTTTTTTTGGATAGGATGGAATTGAGTTTATGGTTTGATATGAAAAGAATTAGGTGTTTAGGATTGGGAGAATCTTGAGCATCCTTAGGATTTATTTGGTGGGCTTGTATGGAAATGATTCTGTTTGCTTAAAAGGAATTGGAAAAGAAAAAATGAATATGAGATCCAGAGCTAAAAAAATTATTGTTGGAAGATTAAGAGCAGAAATCCTCAACAGCTTTATGCCGAGCAAACTTTCAGAGCTTTAAATTCTTGATAATCTGCCACCTATCTAAAGAACAGCTAACTTTGGCAGAGTTGTGATCCAGCACTTTCCAGAACTGTTAATTCTCAATAATACAATAAAATGTTTGTTGTAGAGGGCACCAAATCAAATTACTAAAAGAAGTTACTTAAAACTTAATTGCATAGCAATTTATGAGAAGGCTAAACTCCAGTTTTCTCTGCCAACATGTCTATTATGTATTTGATGCTAAAGCAACTTTAAATTGAAGTGACATGGCATGGTAACTGATCTCTTTGATATTTTAGAAATAGAGAAGAAAAATATGAGCCTACTTAAAAGTTTTTCCTGATGTTGGCATCATATAGGTTTGCTTGCTATGAATCATAGGGAATGCATGAGTATATTATGTCAGGAGCTATAACAAGAAAAAAAGGAGATATATGGAAGATTGAGTACATAAACCTTCCACATTGTTATGCCAAACAAACTCTTAGAGCATTAAATTCTCAATAATGTGCCTCCCATCTGAAGACAGGAAACCTTGGAAAAGTTATGTCAGGTAAACCTTCAGATCTTGTGATTCTCAATATTATGTTAATAAACAAATCTTTACCTTAGAAAGGATCATTCTTCAAAAGGCAATCTAACCCCAATTTTCACTGCTTGAGTACCATGGACAATATATGTGACAGTAGAGCATGAAATTTGAAATTACAATGACATGGAACAATAACTGATCTCTTTAATATTTTAATAATGAAGAAAAAACAGTGGAAGAGCCTGCTCAGAAGTGTTACCTAATGCTGGATTCCTTTTTTTTTTCTCCCTTTTTTCTAATTTTTCCAGATATCCTGATGTGCCATAACAATCACTATTTTTAAGGTTTTATTGAAGAATTTCAGTCAATGATGTGCCTTTAATGAGCCTTGAATTTGTTTTGCTTATTATTTGAAGTTTGAACTTTTCACAAACATCAACAAGTGCCAAGGGAACCTACCTTGAGGTGGCATTTTTCTCAACTCCTGTTCGTCTAATAAGGGGTATAATGCCTATAATAACTTCTGTTTCCTCAAATATCAGCGAGCCTATATTTTTAACCACGTTTTTATAATTGGATCAAGTATCATGAATTAAATTGCTAAGAATACCCATTATAGCCTCATGGAAAGTAATTTTTAGCTTTATTTGATGCTCTTTTACCAATATTCATCTTGTTTAAATGCTCCTATTTGGATAATATTTCTTCCATATCAAGTCTGTTTTTCTTGTTAATAAGGAGTGTGCTCTGCAACTTGAGTGCTGTTAGTTCATTCTAGTTGAAAACAGCATTTCAGAGTATTATATCTTTCCTTGGTTGTCTTGAGACTCGAGGAGATGAATTGAATCAGGAGATGGATAATCATATAGGAACTTACCATAGCAAAAATTTGTTTGATTAAGCATGAGAAAGTGGCTGGTTGAGGGTTCCATGCAGTTAAATTCATTTATCAATTCCTGTACACCATTAAAGGTCCTCTCTCTTCAAAAGAAAAAAATAAGTTCCTCATGAAATTTGTAGATCTAGATGTTCTCATTGTTTCATTATCAGTTAAATAATGTGTATTCTTTGTATTTACTTCTTCTTGACTAACATTTTATTACTAAATTTTAGGCTCTTGTGAGATGAAGTTATTAAATTCAACACACCTTGTAGAGCCTTTAGAAAGTCGAAAGTTTGCAAGATTTTCCTTACAGTATAAACAAATGGAGGAGAAGCCTGAAGGAGAAGAACAATGGGTACCTAGATTCGCTGGGCATCAGAGTTTGCAAGAACGTGAGGAATCGTTTTTGGCGCATGACCAAAAGATAAATTGTGGGCTTGTTAAAGGTCCACAAGGGTATCCGAGTACTGGCTTTGATCTGGCAGAAGATGATGTGAATTACATCAGCAGGTGCCACATTGCTGTGATCTCTTGCATTTTTGGAAATTCAGATCGCTTGAGGACTCCTGCAGGCAAAATGGTACGGGGATAATCTTTTGCTGAGAATAAAACATAGTCTTATAGTCTTTTTGTGATTGATTTTGTATTTGAAAAAGGTATGCATGTTTATTTGTAGGAGTAGATGTGAATTTTTCTTTGCTGCTATTTTCTTTCTTTCATTTCTTTCTTCTTTTTATCCATCTTTTAAAACAGTTCGGTTTGTATCTTAATAGACAAACTGGACTTGAGTTGAACTGTGTGTGATGAATACTATTGGTTGCATTGACTGTGTGATAACCTGACTTGAGTTTTAGCTTTTGTATCATTAGTTCATAAGAAAATTTTTGTTACCTATTGATAACTTGATCGTGCACATAGAGATGTTTTATCTAAGCCATATAGGTGGTGAAATAAGTTGTCATTCTCTTTATGATTCTCCCGTCCTTTTTATTCTTCGAGGATAAACTTTTTATATTGATTTAGAACTTGTTTCTAGAAACCTAAAAGATATGATAAGGTATTGAATGTAATGGGACATCAATGCTTATTGCTTTCATTTTCTATAAATGAGAACTGTGGAGAATAATTGTCCTTAGGGGTGGGCGTTACAAACTTGGGACTAGCACATTAAAGTGGGAAACAAAGATTTCTAACACATTACATAGTGGGTATGCAATTGTAAGCATAATTGTACTAATGCAACAATGTCCGCAACTTTGTGTCTTTTTCTTTTTTATTTTGTTATAAAAAATAAAATGGAAAAGGTTATATACTCTGTAGTTAAGTGAGAGCTTATGAAACTTATGTATTCTAGGATAGCTTGATGCTACTTATTTCTTAAACAAAATGAAGTCCATGAATTAGTGACCACTCACCTTTTCTTTCCCATGTGAAGCATTGATTTGGTACTTCCACATCTCCTATTTCCCTGTTATCTCTTCTTTAGACTTTCTTAAGTCATGCCTACACTTTTCTTTTGGCTGTCAGTGATTATAGTTGTGCGCGTCATATATTGATATCTGTATTAGATTTGTAGTTTTAATGTGGAATTAGCAAGTTTTGTATATTCCTTTTTCAATGGTAATTTACATGTTTCTTGAATGTTGGAGGCTGCATCAATTCAGAGACAAAAAATGCTGTTAATAATGAACATTAGGAGGAAAATAAAAATTCTTCCGTCTCAATATGCATTCTTTCCATTTCAATGGATTAATAACTTTGTCCAAAAATTTTTGAGCCAGGCACAGATATGGCCAAAAAACATTGTATTTGCATCAATAATGTGGGTTGAAGGGAGGGATTGAATTCTGTGTCCACCACTCTTTTAAATCCTCAACCACAACCCAAGCCCTCACTTGGACTCTTCCTCCTTCCTTGCCCATAACTGGAGTTTCCTTTTCCACCAAGCTTCACTTGGCTGGGGTTGTTAAGTTCCTATCCCGCCAAGCAAAACCTTGTCATTCTTGTCAAATAAGCGTATTGGATATTCTGTTCTCAAAGCCATTAAAGTTGTACAGACCTGCATATTGAACAAAGAGACTGGATATGGGTGGTGACATGATTATGTCCTAAAGCAAAAAAATTGGAGAAAAAGAGAAATCGATGGCAGAGCTTGACAAACATAAAGAAAAAGAAGGGAAAAAGTGAAGAGGAAGATAATGTGATTTGTGCTTGACGTCCTTGTTGGTGGTTCTGTCTTGCTGTTTATGGGAGGAGAGCCATCTTTGGTGGTGGATTTAATGGGAAAAAGGAGACCAGAAAGCAGGGCTGGCTGATACTGTGCAAGATTTGATACCTTATGGACAACTTATATGTGGTTATTAGGGCATACAACTTATATATGCTAAATAATAATATTTTAATAAACTTTCCTGGTTTGTGTGGGACAGCTTAAAAACAATTTTGCCCTGTGTATAGACATCTTTATAACGCCTTAATAATTACTCTTTGCTATACTCTATAACTATGAAGCCTGCCCTGTTTGGTTGAGTATTTAACTGGGAGGAAGGAACTGCCACTTCTATTTGATGTAGAATAAGTAAGAAAAGAGATAGATGGTAGAAGTTAGAGGGAAAATCAGAGATAGACAGAAGCAATTAGGGAGGAACAGAGGAAATCAGGGGATACGTAGAAGTAGCAGAGAAAACCAGAAAGAATCAATAGGGTCAATATTCCAAATCTTAAATATTAATCATTCAAACCTAATCCCTCGACTAGCATAATTCCATCCTACATCACTATTGATCATCATTTAAACTTATTAGACTACTCTGCATATTTTCTTTTATTCTTATCTTACAATTGTACATTCTTTAAGGGTTATTGTGCATAGTCATTTTGGGTTTGTGATATGTATCCTTGAATTACTTGAGAAAATTGTGATTTACATTATAGCATTGGTTTAACTATGTTTTCTCCTGATTTTAGGTTACTCGGTTGTCAAGGAAAAATGTCTGCTTTGTTATGTTTGTGGATGAAGTCACGATGCAAACACTTTTTTCAGAAGGTCAATCACCTGATGGTGGTTTTATTGGTTTATGGAAGATAGTGGTTATAAAAAATCTTCCATACACTGATATGCGCAGAGTGGGTAAAATACCAAAATTGTTGCCGCATAGACTATTTCCTTCTGCAAGGTTCGAACTGGACAGATGGGAATTTTTATTTTATAATAAGGCATCCGCTTATTTGTTATATGTTTTAGATTTTGCTACTTCATGCAGGATTTTTTTTTTGTTGTCTTTAATGACAGATGCAGTTTTGTGGTTAGATATTTTGTTAAAATGGTCCGACTGTGACAGTTCTGTTAGCATTTTATTCAATATTTTGCAACTTGTTTTTTTTTTCATGAATGAAATTCTCTTTTAAGGTAACTTGCTCTAACCAAGCATAAAATTTTTAGCCACTTTTATTTATCACTTCACAGGATATCTTTGAACTATGGCTTAAAGGTAGAAAGTTGCTTTTTATGATTATCCTTTTTGTGGATATGAGAATGTTATATAAACGGGCTTGGCAATTGATACTTAACTCTTCTGGTGTCAGGTACTCGATCTGGTTGGATAGCAAACTACGTCTACAACGTGATCCTTTACAACTCCTGGATTACTTCTTGTGGCGAAAAGGTCATGAGTATGCGATCTCTAATCATTATGACCGACATTGTGTCTGGGAAGAGGTTGCACAAAATAAGAAGCTGAACAAGTATAATCATACAGTCATTGATGAACAATTTGAATTTTACCAGGCTGATGGGCTAAAAAAATTCAACTCTTCAGATCCTAACAAGCTTCTTCCTAGCAGTAAGTTTCTCAAGGATATACAGTCAAGCATACTTAGATGCTTGGAGTCACATGCATGTACACAGATGCATAAATGCCTGAAGGTTTTATGGCAGTTTGAGCTTACTATTTTCTTTGTAATGTTTGCCATGCATGTATGCAGATGTGCCTGAAGGTTCTTTTATTGTTAGAGCACACACCCCAATGTCAAATTTGTTCTCATGTCTTTGGTTCAATGAGGTCGAGCGATTTACTCCACGTGATCAGTTAAGTTTCGCATATACATACCAGAAATTGAAGAGGATAAATCCTGACAGACCATTTTATCTCAGCATGTTCAAGGTGAAGAGCTTCAACAAAAAATGGCTGCAGATTTTAAAATTGAACACTTCTATTAATCTGGATTCTCAAGTTTTCTCTTCGGTTTCTTTCATTGCAGGATTGTGAGAGGAGAGCTGTAGCTAAGTTGTTTCGCCATAGATCAGAGGAGAAGCGAAATGTTCAACAACAGGCAATGTTGTAAAAATGTGTTGCAATATCGACCTTTCATGTCGAGTGTCAAATTTTTGTACACTTTCTTTGGCCCCTGCTGGTTCAGTTCCTTGTAAAGAATGCCAACAGTGCTAGTTGTCGACATAATGTGACGAAATTTCTTGGCAACTTGCAACGAGGAAGTCTTAGAGTTGGATATAAAGTTTCACGAGCACGATTATTTTGAGCCACGGCACCATCTTGCGGCAGTCCCTTTCGGTTTTAAATTTGGTAGGTTCTGTTGCTTCATTGTTTCTTTCTTCATATTCATTGCTTCCCCGCCTGTAGGTAAGGAAGCACCAATACCATTGTATTGCTTACAGCTAAAAAATTTGTTGTATTATGATTATTTTTTGAAGGTTCTCAATTGGCTATTAAAAGTTTGTTTTGAGGTGGGGTTTTCAGCCTTGAATGACAATTGCCCATTTAAATGAGTTGCAATCCAGTTTAAATCTTTGCTGGTTGAACTGAGAAACGCGTTATTCGTCAAGTACAAGTAGAATCCCATTTTGTCGCCTATGATCCAAATTTATTTTATTTTCATGGATTCTGCTTATTAAACTTTCGTAGTTTAAATGTCAGTTGTTATTCTATGTTATATGATGTTAACATTTCATCATGAAATATTTTAATGAATTATGATTATGAAGTATTTTACTTTAGTATTATGGAAGTATAAATATAACAAATGATATTTTGATTAATGATAATTAATTAACAGTTAAATATAAAGATCTATTTGGTTTAAATAAAAGTAAAAAAAAATAATTGAATTTAATCACAAAACAATTTATTTGAATCTTTTAAAATAATTTTGAAATTTTTTTAATATATACATATGATCGTCACATGCATGATCTCATTTACTTTTCATTATCTTTCAATAAAGAAAAGGAGATTGCGTGATTAAATTGTCATTTAGATTGTAATGTGAAGCTAATAATTTCAAATTACAGTATAGTTCAAAATTGTTGTTTGATGTCAAATGCTGCTATATTTTAGAGTAAAATAGATTAATTTTTTTAACTTTTGATTCTAATTACACGTAAGTTCATTAAATTTTAAAATAAACATTTTGTCTCAAAGGAATATTTTCTTTATACATATAAGTCTATTTTTTCTGAATATATAACTCTTAATTGTTAATTAATCGTCAATATTTTCATTAGTTTAATGATGTGATAATATTTTTAAGATAATTTTACCTTTCATTAATTTTAAAAATTATCACTATATAAATTTTTTTTATTTTTACATTTTCTCTCTCTACAAACATTCTCTTTTCTTCTCTCACTAAATTTTCTGTAACACGGATGGCCATGATAGCAAACAACGACAAATGCTTTTTGAATGTATCTGATAGCGAAATCGTCAAATCTTGTGCTTTTGAGGTCGAATCTTGCCCGAGAACACCAGATTTGGCATTTTTGTGGCACTAGTGAGTGCTAAAAGGGCTCCTTGGCTAGTGTTGAATGGGCTCCCTAGCATCGAGAACACTAGATCCAGCATTTCTAGACTAGATTTGACCACGAGAGCTCTAGTTTCGACGTTCTTGTGACTAGATTTGGTTGGAGAATACTAGATTTGACGTTTCTGCGATGTTGGCAAGCATTGGAAGAGCTCTTTTAACGCCAAATTTGACATTCAATAGTTTGTAAAATACTCTCACTTCTTAAATTTTAATTAAAATTTTAAATGAATCTATTAGTTTTTAAAATAAATATTTTATTTTAAAAAAATCTTTTATATTGTTAATGTTTTCATTAGATTGATGATATGAGAATATTAAAATGATAATTATATTTTTTATTATTTTTAAAAATTATTATTATATATATATTTTCAAAAAAAATGAAAGGAGCATTGATAGAGGGAAGCACTGATCATTGCTCCCTAAGAAAGAAGAGCACCAAATCCAAGAGAAGGGAGCATCGATTGGTGCCTTCTCTCTTAGGACCTTTGAGGAGCACCAGATCCCCTCTCTTTGCAGAGTTGGGTGTTTTTTGAATTTTTTTTTTTAAAATTATATAATAATAATTTTTTAAATTAATAAAAAAAATATTTTAATTTTTTTTATATTTTATAAAGTAAAATTTTATTATTTTTTAAGTTTTGATCGAAATTATACAAAATTCAATTAATTTTTAAAATAATAATTTATTTCATAAAAATATTTTTTATTGAACACATAAGTTCAACCATTAGTCGATTCATAATATTTTCGCTAATTTGATGTTATGATAATATGAAAAAAATAATTTTATTTTTTATTAATTTTAAAAATTATTATTATATAAATTTATTAATTAAGAAAAGAGAGTCGATCGGGCTCCCCTTCGATGCTCTCTTGAGGGAGCTTGATTTTGGGGCTCCCTTCCGGTGCTCCCTCAAAGAGCTTGATCGTGGCTTAGGTGCACCCTTGGAGAGCCTGATCAAGGCTCTGATGCTCTTAAGGAGCACTGATTTGGTGCTCTCCATGGGCGGTCAATCGGTGCAAGGGACATCGTCGGCTAACCTTAGAGAACGAAAATAATAGAAAAAAAATAATATTTTAAATATTTTATATTTATTATTAACACTGTTTAAATGTTTGAAACGAAATATTCATTTTGAAAATTAATTGACTTTCAATTAAAACTTAAAAATTGAAGGTGTTTTATCATATTTGCTATTAATTGTGTTTTTATTTTTGAGATAAACTGTTTATTTCGAAAACTAATGAATCAAAATGAAATTATGATTAAAAGTTAAAAATAAAAATATTTTACTTAAATTTAAAACTTTTGATATATAATAATAAAATCAAAATTTTTTTACCTCACCGTAACCTCAGACTAAATTATGGACAAAATTTTTTAAACACGTTTTTTTGCAAAAAAGATTAATCAAAGTTAAGCTTGTTAATGATCATTAAGATTAATTAGGGGCTAAGCTTAAAGAGTTTATATTCTGGGTATAAACAATTTCTAACATTGCAGCTTTGGTCATGTTACATTCTTCACAGCATCATATTGGACAAGATACGTCAATAGGCAGAAGCATGGTGAAATTCAAAGTTTAAGGATACAGAGAGATTCATTTGTATGACTTCATAACTGATGAAATACCATTAGCACAGGAAGCAACCCAAAAGTTTGAAAATCTTACTTTCCTACACAAAGCCTCAAATTCATTCAAACTCCTCTCTTCCCCTGCTGCTTGCGTTAACATGGTGTTGTCCAGTCTTGAAACATACATGGATGCTTTACCTGGCTCTGGCTCCTCTGGCTTTATTGCATTTATGATTATGACTTTCCCACCATTGGGTAGCACGTGATAGCAGCCGTCATCACCCCAACAATGGCAGATATCCCGCAGATGAAAAATTGCACTTCAAGTACTTTTATATATTCATTTCTATTTCCAGAATTGAAGCTTTCCCAATGTGTAGATTGTCTCTAAATAACCTTTATCATCATTGCCTCCCCTTTTGGAATGCCTGTAAACATATCTCCTCCAACATGTTCAATACGTGGTCAATTACAAATCAATCACATTTCGCAGGCAACTTGTAATTTACTTAATTAATTTGTACCTGGATAAGGTGGTGCGGTTTTAACAACGTGAGGCAAATCAAAGTTAATGCCCCTGATGGAAGGATACTTGAGATAATCATGTGTATGATTTTGCCACTTCCTCCCCCAACGTCAACCACTGAAGTCAGTCCCTCAAACCCTTTGTATGTTTCCAGGATTCTATTCATGATCAGAGCGGAAATCCCAGCTATTGCTTTGTTGTATATTTCTCTGAACATTGGGTCCTTCTCCATATATTGGAATATGGACATCCCATGGACTTTCTCGAACAAATTTCCACCTTCCAAGACGGCATCCTTCATATGCAACCTGCAAATTAACATTACCTAATAAGGAAAACGATATGCACTTTTGATATAAGCTTTATAGAGTTCATAATGGTACCAGACAGATTGGGTGGCAGGATGATTAGCAAGGGCTGACAAGGGAGCGACAGAGCCTTCATTGGCATTGCCAAGGAAAAAATGGCAAGCTGGTGTTAGTCCGTAGAGTGTTTCAACCAAGCCATCTTCAAGAGTGCGGGAAGAGTAAGTGAGCAGAGAATGGGTGCCTAACAAACGCAGCATGCCGCCAAGCATGGAAGGGGTGTCTGGGTTTTGTGCGGAAAGCTGAGAAGCAATCTCAGTGGGAGACAAATGGGCATCAGGGCCTGCTTTAGCCATGATACCGAGCAGGCCGAGCTCAATGGCTGCGTTAAGCACCTTGAGAAAGGCATCAGAGGTCGAGAAGAGCATTGCACTAAGGCATCCTTCATCATTCTCCTCGTTCATTAATATAGAAGGCTAAATTATGGCAGGAAAGTAAAGCAATCTGTAATAGCTAGACACTGAAAAGAGTATTATACCGTATTTAAATGGAACAAGGAAGTATTGAAGTGGCTGATTCTGTGACATGGTGGGCTGGTATTCTGGCAGAAATGGAAGAAACTGAAAGTTTTGCATAAAGGCAAGCCCAAGTTACTACTTCTCATGAGGTGTCAATATGTTTTGCCGCCTCTTGATGAATGGACTACATGTATGCCACCTCTTGAGATAATGTTTTATGTCATGAACCAATTTTGTACAGGGGCATGAAACCAACTCTGTGCATGGTCGTGACTGGGTAGTTGTGCTTGGAAAGGTTTGCCATTTTATACCTCAAGTGTTTTCATTTCAAATAATGTAAGCAGCCGATGAAATGTTTTGGGCTATACGTATTAAGTTAATAACATTATATTATAGTTTCAGAAAGAATCATTAATCTTACGTCTCGTGTATGTTAGAATAAAACTACTATTTAAATGTTTATATCATCTTTAATCGTTTTTTGTAAAATAAAATCGTAAAATTTAATAAATCAAAACAGATAATACTTTACAAGTTGATATTGATCGCGACAGTTTATATATGAATCAATACATTCAAGCGAGTTTTCGGTTTGATCAGGTTTTCTTCGCTTCTAATCTATATAAATCCATGTATATAGAAGAATAATTAACAAGTGCAGAACATTTATTATTCAAGGTTCGATACAAAAAAATGAATTTGTTTCCAGTCAGTCGACTTGCACATGTAAGGTTCTTCGACCTTAGGCCATGATCAAACGAAAAACAAATGACCCTGTTAATACTTATGTGTTACAAAGACAAAGAGAAGAAGGGAATGCAAAACGTTCTAATCAGCTGTCATCATGCCCAACAACTTGTTTCTTCCATTAACAACCTCTTTAAACAGCTCAGCCACTACAGACTCAAACCTCTCCAAGCCCTCTTTGAGAGCTACAGATTTATTCTTCAATGAATCAATACTCTTTAGATATTTCTTTTCATCAATTGCTACTCCTCGGGAAGCCTGATCTTTCATATTCAAAACCCTGCTCTCTACCATCTTATTCTCAACCAAAACTGGCCTTGTATAATCCTTGTTAACCCCATCTAGTCCTTCGAAGAAGCTACACACAAGCTTCCTTAG